CTTTTTTTTTTCCCCCCTTCATCTGACTAGGTGGTTTAAGAAAGAGGAGCAATAGAACGTGCATCTAATTTTTTTTCTAGCAGTGTGGAAGAAAATAAGCGAGACATGGTGTGCTCTTTTTGCAGCAGAACTGCAGGGAGATGTAACTTCTAATGCTTTGGGAATGGGAAGATGAAGCTTATGACAAACTTATCCTGAGACCTGTAGCTGAAGTCCATGGAAAAGGGAGAAGGAATGGGAGAGCGTCAGAATGGTACCCGGCTGCGAACGACCTTGTTGTCCCTGCTCAGGCTAAAAAGCCCTTTGTAAACGTTTCAGCACTTTGCTCTGTGGTATTCCGTGCGTCCATCAACTCTGAATAGCCCATATTTCTACTTATAAAATTAATTAAGGCATCAGAAGGCTTTGAATTATTTAGTTTAATTCCAAAACACAAACAGCTTAAGAAGGCAGTTTTTCAGATGTTCTTTAAAATAATCTGTGTGTAAACATAAAGATACATGTTCCAAAAGTCATCTTGGGAGTAAAATCTTTCACAGGAAAAAATCAAAGATTTGGCATGCCTTCAAAAGGACTTTGGTTTTGTGTGCGTGCGACTGAACTCGGTTCTCCTCAAGAGGTTTTGATAAAGTTTCTCAAATTACAAACCTTGAATTACCGGTCACTTACATATATGGATGTTTGTGTGAAACCTGTCTTGCTTTTATTCCATGCAGATATTTTTCTCCTTTAAAATGGTAGACAAGGTGAAATGGTAGATTTCAAGTGCAGATATTTCTGGCATCCAGTAAATGTCTTCTCATGCCACTGCTTCAAGATGGCACCGAAGGAAATCTTTCTGAAATAGAGCCGTAGTTGGCATTAGAGATCTAGGAATTTGTGTCCCCATCACTGCTTGAAAATAGAAGCAACAATTTATCTTCCTTTGCAACCCACAGGAAAAATAGCTCCATTAGTTTGAGGGTGTTAGTTTGCATGAGTTAAATGATTTTTTTTTCTTAGTGAGTCTGTGGGAGGAACTTAGAGAAAGCTATTCAGGGAAGAGTTCCCTTTGAAAATGGTTCTTCAGCATGCAAAGCTCAGTGTTAGTGAACCTTGAATTTTTCATCTGGAGTGATTTGTTTCCTGTCCCCTGCATTGTCTCCTGGCAGCTCG